GCTCTCTGGATCCAGGATTTGGAGATTTGTGTCCCTGTTCTAGCTGTTTTGTTACATAATAGTGTGAACTTTGTTAAACCATTTGGCATCTATGGGCCTCTGTTTTTTCATTTGTAAAATGGAGGCTTCCTGATGTCCTTTAGACTGAAAGTTCTTTAACATTTATTTATTTATTAATGGTACTGATTAGTCTTTGTGCCACTGTACTACCCTGTAGGAAGCAGACAATGATCCAACAGGAGAAGCAGCAGCTAATACCCAGCAGACCCTTACTTTCTATGAGCTAGACCTTGGTTTAAATCATGTGGTCCGAAAATACAGTGAACCTCTGGAGGAGCATGGCAACTTCCTAATTACAGGTACTCTTCTTATAGAACTTCTCTCTATCCTTTACCTGATCCATTTTATGTCAAAATTTAATAGGTTTCACTTACTAAGGTTTGGAAATTAATCCGTTTATAGTGAACCTGAGTGCTTTGTTTATGTTTTGTTAAAGATATCATGTGGTGTCTGTGAATTAGAAAACTTGGAGGATTAATAGTTTGAAAACCACTATCAAAATTGATCCAAAAAGAAATTAAGAAGTCAAATAGACCATTATCTATTAAAGAAATTAGAGCAGCAGTTAAAGTTCTCTCCTCCAAAAGATTGAAGGTACATGATTTCCAGGAAACTTTTTTTTTTTTTTGTCTGTTTTTGAGAAAGGGTCTATGCAGTTCTGGTGGGCTTTGAGCTCATTTTGTAGCCCAGGCTAGTCTCGAACTCACAACAATCCTTCTGCCTCAGTCTCGAGTGCTGGGATTTCAGGCATGAGCCACCATGCCTGGCTCAGGAAGTTTTTATTATCTCATTGAAGATTATATATTCCTTTTATTTAATTTTAATTTTTTTGAGACAAGGTCTCTATTGCAGTTCAGGCTGGCCTTGAGTTTCACTTCGTAGCACAGGCTGGTCTCAAACTCGAAACGATTCTTCTCCCTTGCCTCCCAAGTGCTGGGATTACAGGCGTGAACCACCATGCTCAGCTATATATTGCTTTTAAAAGCAAATTTCTCTAAAGGATAGAAAGATATTAAGAGCTTCTTAAAGAATAAAACTACCACTTTAAGTCAGTTCATCATATTAAGCTAAAGTAGGACAGAACTGTATTTGTGATCATCTGCATTTTAACAGACTTGGGAAAGATAGTGATATAGTATTTTCTTTCTGGTTTTATTTTTTCTTATGTTTATTTTTTATATCAGAAATCAAATTTGGGACCCTGTGCTTGTGAGGCAGGTACTGTACTCTTAAGCTATATCCCTGGCCTGTGTACTAGTATTTTCTGTTTTGAAACAGAAGCGCTTGAGTTGTCCAAGGTGAAGTGTACTATATGTCTGTTGTTGAGACAGGATTTTGGGAAGTAAGATCCCCACCCCTCTGCCCCAGTACTGAAGACTGAACCCAGAGCTTCATACCTGCTGGGCCAGGTACTTTATGAAGCTACCCAGCTTTTTTTTTGACAGGATCTCACTGTGTAGTTCAGGCTGGCCTCAAACTTCTGGTGATCCTCTGCTCAGCCTCCCAAGTACTAGAATTATAACTGTGCTATCTTGTGTGGCTTTTTTGGTTTAGAGTTTTTGTTTTTGTTGTCTTTTGGAGAAAGAGTCTCCTTATGTGGTTCAGGCTGGCCTTGGGCTCACTTTGTAGCCCAGGCTGGTCTCAAATTTGCAACAATCCTCCTGCCTCAGCCTCCCAAGTGCTGGGATTACAGGAGTGCGCCATCATACCCAGCTTTGTTTTTTTAGACAGGGTCTTGCTGTGTGGTCTTGGGTGGCCTTGTACTCAACTGTGTAGCCCAGGCTGGCCTTGAACTTGTTTCAGCCCTTTTGCCTTAGCCTCCTGAATGCTGGGATTATAGGTGTGCACCACCCTGCCTGGCACTCCCAACCTTTTTTATTTTATCTTGAGATAGAGTCTTGCTAAGTTGCCCAGGCTGAACCTGAACTTGAATCCTTTCATCTCAGCCATCCAGATAACTGTGATGACTGGAATTTGCTATCATTCCTGGTGAAACAGCACTTATCTCAAGCATTAAATCTTAGAGACTGTCTGATAAGCACATGAATATAAGAAGATAGATTACACACATCACTTTCTGTGACAATTTACCATACCTTTTACACCATCACACTTTTTAAAAGGGTGTTATTCATTCAGTTTTTTTAAGAGGTGCTTATTTTCAGACATGGTCTCATTGTGGTTCAAGCTGGCCTTGAAATCATGAGGATCCTTCTGCCTTAACCTCCTGAGCTCAGCCTGTGCTCGGTATTGAACCTCAACTGTCGATGTCGCTCCTGGCCGGCAGGAAGGACACACGACAAAGTCTGGCAGTGGACAACCTTTTCTTTTATTTTCCTTCTCCGTACAGCCTGCCCTGGGATCGCTCCCAGCCGAAGCCTCCTTTGGTCCGCTCCCCGCGGCTCCTTCTGGGCTTCTACTTTCGGGCTTCTTCTTCCCCCCCAGGGGTGGCACCAGTATATATACGGATACAGTGTCCAATCATGTTAAAGTAAGCAAGGCAAGCTGATTGGCTAACATCATCAGTTGCCAGGCAGACTATATTGTTGAGCGGGTTGCTTACGCGGTAAGCAGGAAACTAACGTGCTCGATGGGAGGGGTAATCTACCTCAGGCTTTACTCTTTACTACAGGCCTCACGTCCGCCAAGTGAGGCGACCGGGCTCGGGGCTGCGGCTCCCAACACTCAACTACCAACATGCTCAGCCTATGCTGGGTATTGAATCTCAGACTTCAAGGATACCAGACAAGTGCTGTGCCACTGAGAAAACACCCAGCTCTGTTCAACAAATTTGTATTGAATTTTTTTTTTTTTTGTCTTTTTCATCAGTACCAGGATTCGAACTCACAACTGCCTGCTTGTAAGGCAGGCGCTTATGCCACTGAGCTAAATCCCCAGCCCTGTATTGAATTTTTGTAATCAGTACATGTAATAGCCTACTAAGTCCTAGAATTGCAGTGGTGAAAAATTAAATGTGATACCTCCTTTTATGCAAGGTTGCGTCTAGTGGTCAATACCAAGTAGTTAAAAAAATTGCCTGATATTGTGCCAAATGCCTTGATAGCGTACAGTGGTCCCTGTCCTAGGAAGGACTGTCTTAGAGAAAGTTTCGTGAAGAAGTGGTATGAGAAGGAAGCATTTGTTACAGACATGCAAAGGCCAAGTAAAGAAAGAACATGGATCCTTCATAGAATACAAAGCTCACTACAGAACTAGAAGGGGAATAGTGGTGAATTGTAGTTACTGAAAGCCTTTTTTTTTTTTTTTTTTGAGACAAGGTCTTGTGATGTAGCTCAGGTTGGCCTTGAACTCACGATGTACCCTTGCGGGCCTTGAACTCTCAGCAGTCTTCCTGGCACAATTTCCCAAATTCTAGGGCTACAGACATGCGCCATCATGCCTGGCTAGTTGCTGAAAGACTTTAAATAATAAGCTGATAGAGGTGGACACTTCATTCATAAAGATAACTGCTTAGCATTTTGACTAGTGGAGTGATGGACAGGATTAAGACTAAGCTAGGAGCCTGATCCACAAGCTCTTTCACTAAGAAGCATAGCAGTATGTGAGTCAAACACTTAGAAAGAAGAGACTGTGAGAAAGAAGAGAATTAACGAATGATACTCGCATTTCTGGTTTGGTCTGTTTGTTGATGGTATTCTCAGGTGGAGGACTTAGGAAGTCTATTACGTTTGGGAAGCTACTTGAGTTTATGAATCCACTATATTTTTAAAGTGTGTATAGGATGTTTTTGTCTAGTAGGTGATTAGATTATAGGTGTGAGCACTGAGTTCTGAGCTGGATATGAAAATTTAGATGCATAAGAAAAATTTAGATGCATAATCGAGGCTAAATATCTTCCACATAAACACAAACTATATTCCATATATAGGGTGGATAAGAAGAAACGTGGGATATTTCTCAGGTTCAGGCATACACTGCCTTCACGTACCAAAAGAAAAGGAATAGAAAGTGAAAGTAATTTATCAGTGTGTCACTACTGCTGAATCTTGTTTTCCCTGACAGTTCCAGGAGGGTCAGATGGTCCAAGTGGGGTGCTGATTTGCTCTGAAAACTACATTACCTATAAGAACTTCGGTGACCAACCAGATATCCGATGTCCAATTCCTAGGAGACGGGTAAGGTCTTTGCCATAAGAGGAAAGATACTTGTGTTTGTGAAATGATTTAAACTTTTGTTTTGGGGGATTTTTGTGGGGGGTTCCTTTGTACTGGGGATTGAACGCAGGACCTTGCACTTGCCTGGCAGTTGCTTATGCCACTGAGCTATGTCCCCAGTATGAACTTTTATAATTGCAGTATAGTCTTTTATCAGGTTTAAGTTTCTTTGTTGTAATTTTTTTTTTTTTTTTAAGATGGAGGTCTCTATATGTAGTTTAGGTTGGTCTTGCACTGACTCTATCCAGGGTGGCTTCAAACTCAACAGTGATCCTCCTTCCTCAGCCATCCAAGTGCTAGGATTATAAGTGCAAGCCAACATGTCTACGTGTTCAGGCTGGTTTTGAACTCATTATGTACCTCAGGCTGACCATTGGACTCATAGCAATTCTCCTACTTTAGCCTCTTGAGTGCTGGGATAACAGGTGTGAGCCACCCACTATGCCAAGCTCAAAACCAAAATTTTAGCTACACAGTGCCTTCCAAGAATCAAGGAATCTGGGAATGGTGGCACACACCTGTAATCCCAGCACTTGGGAGGCTAGGGCAGGAGCACTGTTGCAAATTCCCTGAGCACTGAGGCTAGGGCAAGACCAGCCTGGGCTACAAAGTAAGGTCAGGGCCAGCCTGAACTGCATAGCGAGACCCTGTCTCAAAAAGACCAAAAAAAAAAAAAAAAAAAAAAAAAAAATCAAGGAACTTGATATAGAACAGGACTAGTGCTGGATGGATGATTGTGTCATGCATGTATGAGTGTTTTGTTCATAGCCTGAAATGATGCCTAAATTTCATGTCTCTTCTCTGACAATTTTGTCTGGAGATGGTTTTTGCCTTATTGATCTGATCAGGCTGTAGAATGGAATTATGACTATTTCTTAGTTACCCCAAATTTATTGTATTTATGAGTTTTTTTGTACTGGGGATTGAACTCACGACCTCGTGCTTGTCAGGCAGACTCTTATGCCGCTGAGCTAAATCCTTGGCCCTATTATATTTATAATAGACAAGAGCTTTTAGTTTTTTGGTTAATAGGCTGCTATGTCTTGGGTCTTTCCAGGAGGCTTGTTCAGTTTGTTAATAAAATGCTGAATTTCAGAAATAAGCTGTGGGTTGTATATTTGATTCTGTTAGAATGACCTGGATGACCCTGAAAGAGGAATGATTTTTGTCTGCTCTGCCACCCATAAAACCAAATCGATGTTCTTCTTTTTGGCTCAAACTGAGCAGGGAGATATTTTCAAGATCACTTTGGAGACAGATGAAGATATGGTAAGTAGACCATACATGGGAGGGAGAAAATAAAAAGGGAAAAATTAACCATTTGTTGTTATCTAGTTTGATGAAAGTTTCTACCCAGGACCTTGCCTGCGTTTGGCAAATGCTCTACCACTCACTGAGTGAGACTCCCATAGCTGTATTTTTCCTAAGCTAAATCATTTGAAAGTAAGTTGGAGGTGTCATGACATTAAGAATGTGCCTTCTCAAAACAAGGATTTTTTTTTTACATATAATACCTAAGAAATTTATATATAATTTCTACACTTATATCTAATTAAATAGCTATCTTTAAAAAAGCACATTTACATGTACTTTAAGATTTACAAAGCTGTTTTATATAGCATTGGTACATTAAACGGTTCTTTGAGATGAGATAACTAGGGCAATTAATATTTTACATATTGAAAAGTTGGAAACATAGGATGTCTAAAAAGTGGTTACCTTTGGACTTGTGTATACATACAGGTTTTCCTATTCTTGTTAGCAGATAGGTACCCAGTCTAGTAATCTTGTGTATACCAACCTTGGATACAGCCATTGAAACAATTATTTTCAGTTGGTTACAGTTGGTATGAATAAGAAGTTTTTCATGTCTGCTAAAAACTGGTAATGTGTGTGGTTTGTTACTTGTTTCTTTCTATGCAGGAACTGAATAATTGGGGTCGGGGATTGAACTCACGACTGCGCTTACCAGGGAAGTGCTTGAGCTGAATCCCCAGCCCAACTGGGCTATTTCTTAGATAGCCGTTTAGATCAAGAATTGGCAGACTTGTTTTGTGAATACCAGTTTGTAAATATCGGCAGTTTTTGTAGGCCATATAGTTTCTGACTTGACTTGTGGACTCTGGCATACAGCAGCCACCAACAGTATGTACACAAATGGGCACAGGTAGCCTGTGAGCCGCAGTTTGTTGACTCCTGGGTTAGATAATGAATTATTGTATTTGCTCCTTAGCTGATCCTATATCATATAATACTGGGCTTCTCCCATGGCCAGGCCTCACTTGCCTGAACACTGTAGAATCTTTTCTTTTCATTCCAGGTAACTGAGATTCGGCTGAAGTATTTTGACACTGTGCCTGTTGCTGCTGCCATGTGTGTGCTTAAGACAGGCTTCCTTTTTGTAGCTTCAGAATTCGGAAACCAGTGAGTATTCCTTTTATTACCCTAATTCACTCTGATTACTTAGAAGTTCACAGGAGAAAGGTTTGGTTTCAAGTCTGGGGAGGCTTTCACAAGAGTATTTCAAACAAATTTGGCTCTCCTTTCCCCTTTACATTCTTCTCACTGTTAGCTTCCTGTACTTCAGTGGCTTTAGTCAGCATCTCTGTTGATGTCTGCAGAAAAGATCATTTGAATTTAAATATTTCCTGGAGTTTTCATAAACCTTTCATTGAGTATTTATTGAAGTACTTGCTATTCTTAAAGAGATTGTACAGATCTAAAGCTGAATATTATTACCTGCCCACTCATATCACCCATCCTCCTAACCTCAGTATTTCTGTGGAGTCAGTTCTGGCAGCTGAAATGTAAAATCTCAGGTTTTTGGTCCATTAATACTGTCATTCAGATGCTGAGGTCTACTTGGACCATTCTATCCATTTTAGTGGTGTTAAGGCAATGCACTGTTTGCTTATTTCATTAACCTTTTCTGTAAAACTCGGCCTTTAGGATTGTCTCATCAGAAAAGACCCAAAGTTGATGAAATTGTTTCTTTCATCCCTGTGTTAAAATCTTTGATGACTCTTCACTGCCTTATGGAAGCTGAATTAGCCTGAATTTAAGGTTGATATCCAAAATTCCAAGTTACTTATAAGAAGTGAAATAATGTGATCTTGTATATATCTGCCAGTGTGCAAACCAATTTCACCCTTTCCTTGTTAAGACACTGAGAATCTGTGCTATTTTTGCCTGTCTCCAGTTCTCTCCTTCTGTGATTTTTTTTGTTTTTGTTTTTGTATTTGGACTTGAACTCGCTACCTTGCTCTCCCCTCCCCTCACTACCTTGCTCTTGTCAGGCAGGCACGAGTGCCTTTCAGCTATATCCTTGGCCCCTGAGTTCTCACATTCTTGCCATGCATTTTCCTCTTTGCAGTATCACTGTTTATTTTGCAGTATCTTTGTTCCTACTGTTTATTTCTCCTTTGCCTAATGTGAACTTTGTTGTATATCTTTTCTGGCTTATATAGATAGGTGTCTGTTTGTGTCCATGGGAGTTGGTTCTCCGACACCCCACTCTCTTAAGGATGCTAAAATCTGAGGATGTGTAGGTCCCTTACACATAACCTGTGCCGTCCTCCGTGTATTTTAAATTGTCTCTGGACTACTTGTAATATTTAATAGACTGTAAATGCTGTGTAAATAGTTGTCATACTCTGATGCTTGAGGAATAATGACAAAACTGTAAATGCTCTGTAGAGGTGTGCATCTTCATTTATTTATTTATGGGTGCTGCAGATAGAATTCAGGACCTTGTTCATGCTGTCTGAGTGCTCCACCACTGAGCTGTATCCCTAGCCCCTTTTTGGAAGGAATTTTATTTATTTATTTTTTGGTCTTTTTGAGATAGGATTTCACTGTACAGTTCAGGCTGGCCTTGAACTAATTTTGTAGCCCCCGGTGGCCTCGAATTTAGTAGACTTCCTGCCTCAGCCTCCTGAGTGCTGAGATTACAGACATGCTACCATGCCTGGCCTTTTTGGAATTTTTTTTTTTAAACTTTTTTTTTTTATCGGTACCGGGGATCGAACTTACGACTGCCTGCTTGCAAGGCAGGTGCTTATGCTGCTGAGCTAAATGCCCAGCCCCTGGAATATTTTTTTTTTAATCTGCTTTTAGTTGAAGATGTGGAACATGAGGATAGAGGGGGCAGGCAGATATACCTGGTTTCACTTTTTACCTTTTTAGCCTGTTACTGTGTTCATTGTTTATTTTTATTAGGTCTTTTATGTATGTATGTCTGTATGTATATGTGTATATATGTATTTATTTAGTTTTGGAGACAGTCTCACTTTGAGCTCAGTCTGGCCTTGAACTCCTGCAGTCCTGCCTGAACCTCTTGAGTACTGGTATTACTGGTGTGTGCCACCATGCTCAACCTACTTTTTTTTTTTTTTCCCCTCGGTATTTTTGAGAAAAAGTCTCACTACGCAGTTCAGGTTGGCCTTGAACTCAGTTTGTAGGCCAGGCTGGTTTTGAACTTGCAACCATCCTCCTGCCTCAGTCTCCTGAGAGCTAGAATTTTAGGCCTGTACCACCATGCCTGACTTTTGTAGTTTTTTTTGTAAAAGGAATATTAAAGAAAAAAAAAAAAAGACCGCGTACTGTGGAGAAGATAACAAAGGCTATACAAACACAAATATCACTTATCCTTCTATTCAGAGATAAAATTTCCTTAACCTTTTTGTGTTCATAAAGTTTTATGAAAATGAGACCATACGATACGTCCATTGTGGCCTTTTGTGTAGTATAATGGATTAATATTTCTCTATACTAGTAAACGTAGGTCTGTGGCATCATTTTTTGTAGCATCTATTTCCTAATATTTGGGGGGGGTATTGTAATCCCAATTGTGATCCCTTTTCTAGTCTTTTTCACAATCCAAAAAATTATATCTATATTCCCATTGAGATGTTATTAGAATTCTGGCAAATTAATTCCAGTCTACCACTTCCAGTGCAACCCATGACGAGAGTAAAGACACCAACACAGGGATTCAAAGTTAAGGGCAACCAAGGGGTCCTTAGCCCAGTCCCTCTGAGGATGTGCAGACAAAGGCCCTGATACAAGACCTCTCTCAGAATTTATTTTGTGAAGAAGGGCGGTGGCTTGAGGATGAGTAACAGTGAAGATGGTGGGAACTACAAGAGTAATTTGAGCTGGCTAGCCAGGTAGGGAAAAAGGCATCTTTGCAAAATGCAGGGTTAACAATATGCAGAAGGATCAACCTGTATAATTCAATTAGGTAGCAACTTAGTTGTTTTTGGAGGCTGTTGCTTCAGTTTCTGATATGTAAACTTTCATGCCCTGGGGACTCATAGCCTCTCTATTTCGGCTTATACCCAATTGACATTCCTGGAGCTGACTGGCTCTACCATCCCATCCCATCCCATCCCGCTGTGCTCATATATTTTGTAGCGCACTATTTGAGGAAACAGAAGACTGTCTGATGGCTTTAGAGATTACATGCCAGTATCTGGGCTAGCCTTATTTGCAATGCAATTAAAGTGAGAAGAAAATACCATAGTCAGCTGTGTACATATCAGTATAAGGAAATGGGTCTCAATATAATCAAAGTCACAGCAGTTGTTCTGCATTCACTCAAAATTGTCTTCCACAGAGGTATATGGGGAATTGAACCTAAGACCTCATGCTTGCCAGGTAAACACTGTGCCACTGAGCTAAATCCTTGGCGCCATTTATTATTGTGATAAAATATGCATAACATAAAATGCCATTTTAGCTGTGTTTTCATTCAGTTCAGCACCAATAAATATTTACAGTGCTGTGCAGCTATTGCTATTGCCTTTCCAAAAGATTTTAATTACTCTAGACAGAAACTTTGTCCAAAGTTC